ATATATGTATGTATGTGTGTGTATATATGTATGTATGTATATATATGTGTATATATATACATATATGTGACGGCGGCATAGTGTCGGACTAGTGTCGGAAGGTGGCGCGGTGTTGCCGCATGCGCGAGATGCCCACCCTTTGCCCAGGATTGATGACTCGCTAGCATCCATGTCGGGTGCTGCATTCTTCAGCAATCTTGACTTGACCAGTGGTTACTGGCAAGTCCCTGTCAACAAGGACCATCGAGACAAGACGGCCTTCTCGATTGGGACGAACTTGTATTGTTTCAAGAGACTTCCCTATGGGCTCTGTAATGCACCTCCGCTGTTCCAGAGATTGATGGAGTTGGCATTCGCTGGCATTCGCTGGAAGGTGAGACGCACGTATGAGCTAATAGAAGAATACAAACCGAATGAAGAGCTGAGATGAAATAGAATTTTCCCATTCAATCCCCCTGAAAATTCAACATCCCAACTCTCAATAGGTCTATTCTAATTTTGAATAAAGCAAGGATTTAACTTTCGTGAGCAGTGATAAGACTTTGGGAAGTTTGAAAAAAAAATCGTATATGGGGAACTCGTCCAAAATTAACCGTTTGAGTTTCAGTAAAATAATGTCATTCTTGGAACGAGTTACAGCGCTTTTACAGTAGATGTATGTCACGTTCCATTTCTGTAATAATACATTAGGAGAGTATGAATAGCGATGACGGATTTGTAGATAAATATCCAGTATTTATTGTCTGTAAAATATTACAATTTTTCCCCATTTTCTTCCTGAAAGTAGGGGGGATAAAAGTCACCCCACCTCAATAAGTGTGGGGGTATATACCCGTCTAGCCGTCTACATTTCATCAAATATAGACTAAAAATAGTCAAATTTCATCATATGACAATTGTTTGCCTTCGAAACTCTCATCGCTTCATTTTACATACGCCTCCACAATACACTGCAGACAGGCGTATTGTCTAGATGCATTGTCTGGTTCGCTTGATACAATGTATACACATCACATTTATGCTGGCGCTTGCAAATATGCTATGCCTGCTGTATAAAACGCTATAACGCTAGAGTGGCCTGCGCCCGCTCAGATTTTGACGATATTTTTTTTACTATCCCGGCGGGATACCATGCATGCAAGCATTGCAATCTGGTATCCAACACAAGAATCTACTATCCCGCGGATATCGGGATACCGCTAATTTCACGGCTATACGTACGTACGTACGTGTCTCTCTTTCTGCGCGGCACGCGTATATCGATCTCTTTCTGTGCGTGTGTGTGCGCGCGCGCGTGTGTCACGGCAGCACCATCCAACAATGAACATCACTATCAAAATCTAAATCGAAGCTTCTGCTTCGCGGTGTGCATGTGTCGGTCGATATTTATTGGTCAGGAAGGGGTTAAAAATTAAACACCCATCACTGTAGTAAATGCACAAGCCACAAGGATGTGGCAGTTTATTAGTGGAGTTTCAAAACCTGAAAAGGCAAAAAACTGTAAATCTGATGTATATAATGTTAGTACTAGTAGTACTAGTAGTACCTCACAAAGTCAGTATTCTAAAGTTTATGACAGTACAAAGAGAGAGGAAATTTTTGAAGAAATGGACAATTGGCCGCCCTTGGCTTGTGGATGGTGAAAAGGGAATGCTGTGCAGTCTGTGTAAGACAAATGAAGAAACTCTAGTGCAGCGCGCAGTTCTACAGTCAAGGGTGTTTTTGCAAGGTTGTACGAGTTACAAGTCTGAAAGCATAGCTTTGCACGAGAAGTCAGCGTGTCATCAATTTGCAGTTAAATTATCTGCAAGGAAAGCTGCACCTGAGTCTGCACCTGCTGCTCTAGCCATACGTTCGCTGCACAAGGCGACAATGAGTAAGCTGGAAATACTTTTCAGGAACGCTCATGCATTATCAAAGCACAGGAGATCATTTAGGGATTATCAGTGGCTATGTGAGCTAGATGAAAAGAAGAGGTTAGATGTGGGCAAGACCTATAGAAACCCTGCTGCATGCCGGACATTCACCAAGTTTATTGATGGAGTTTCAAGATCTGATCTAATTAAGGCTGTTGACACTACACGTTTCGTGAGTGTTACATCGGATGGGTCTACGGACAGCTCTAAAACAGAGCAGGAAATAATATTTGTACGGTTTGTGGACAGTGGAGTGCTTCAAACTAAATTTGCGGGTATTGTTTCTCCGAAGAGCCCTGATGCCACTGGTCTGTTCAACGCGATTATGAGTGGGCTTTCCCAGGTTGGCCTGACTGAGACCGAGTTGAAGAGGAAGCTGATTGGTTTTGGGTGTGATGGGGCTGCAGTCATGGTAGGCAGAAAAGGTGGAGTAGCTGCTCTTTTAAAGCAACTGCAGCCTAGTGTGACGGTAGTCCACTGTTTAGCTCATCGCCTGGAGCTAGCATACAAGGATGCTATCAAAGAGATGCACATCTACAAACTGACCATTCTTCTTTTGATGGGAGTATATTACTTCTACAGAAATTCGCCCAAACAGAGGGAGAACTTAAGAAATTCTTTCATTAGCCTCCAAAAACCAGTTGTTATGCCTGGTTTGTATAACTGGGTTTTATTTTACAGACACGTCAGAGCAAGCCGCCGACGCGCAAGTAATCGGGAGTAAGGCCGCGCGTCTGTCCTCTAATAGATACACAGATGACATCAAAGCGTGAGCCAAAATTGTACGCCACGAGACGCAGTCTGTACTCTAATAACACACGGCTCTCGACCAATCAAAGCGCGCAGTTTACTATAGTTGTTGTATAAAGTAGAATCATAGAACATATGAGATACTCTCATGCGTCTATCGGTTTGGACGCTAATGTTATTTCCTGTATAACAGGGTTTTATTTTACAGACACATCAAAGCAAGCCGCCGACGTGCAAGTAGTCAACAGTAAGGCCAAGCAAAAGAATGCTGCTTCTTCTATCACTAACCGCCAGGAGAGCTATGGTGAGTAAAGTCGCAGCCACTAAGGTTGTCCAAGAACAAAGACAAATATCCATATACTGGGATAAAAATGAGATTTTTTGGCCATTTAGCACGCGTAAATGGTTTACCGTGCCAGTGGGCAGAGATCGGAAAATATTGCCCGCCCGCGCACGCGCCCTGAGAACCAATCAGAGGACAGAATTCGATCGTTACCGCGCCCGCTAGGAAAAAATAATATATGAGATACTCCAGTACCAAGAACAATAGGGATATGTGGATATTTATATTTCACCTCGGACAACCTTAATGTATATAGACATATTAGAATCATATAATATATGAGAGATACTCGCATGCCTGTATCAGGTGCGACGCTGGTCATTTTAAGTATAACTGTTTTTTTTTACAGACATCGCATCACTGGACGAGGATGATGATGATGATGATGAGGATGACTTTGGCGATGGTGATGGCGATGGCGATGGCGATGACGATGTTGTTATATTGACCAACCCCAAGAAGAGACCTCTACAAACTGGAAGGTTGGTACACAAGATGAGTGCGATAGTTGGATTTTTGTGTGTGTGTGACCGAGACACGTGATAAAATGTATCTATTGTTGTTCAGCCAATTGGTGTAGGTTGTCAGATAACCAGTACTGAAACTGCGCCATTTGTTTCATCTTTAACAGGTTCTCTAGAGAAGAGGATGACGATGACGACGTTGTTGTGGTGTCAAGCCCCCCCCCCAAGAGGCATCGACTAACTAGTAGCGAAGTGAATATAAATTACCATAAACATGTTATCGCAATATTTTGGCAAATATGGCATCTGTTATAGTCTTTCGTTATATTAGATCTTCTCGAAAAGAAATATAACTAGTTGATCAGGCTTATAACTCACAATAGCCTATCGATCGCGAATAGATATATACAAATGTCATGTCCTCTCGCAGCCATATGTACATTACCCCCAATTGAAATTAGGGGGAGGGGGTCTAGAACTAGACCGGGTTTAAAAAAAAATTGAGGGTTTTAAAATTAGATCAATACTTTTGATACATATTAAGAAATGGCCACTTCTGGTTATGAACTCCTGGCTATATCAAATAAAGAATATGATATTTATT